AAAACTCTAAGTCCCTTCGTCGCACATCTGAGTATGACTTCTGTCGGCTTTGAGCTGTTAGCAACCTCTCCCGAATGAGTTTAACCTGCTCCACTATCTGTGGTACTAAGTCGGGTCAAATCAACTCTGACTCACCTACCTCAAACCACCCAATGAGGGAACTACATCTTCACCCATACAAAGCCTCATAAGGTGCCATCCCGATGCTGGAATGACAACTATTATTGTATGCGAACTCAATAAGAGGTAAGTGGTCATCCCAACTTCCTTTGAGGTCTAGCGCGCACGCCTGTATCATATCCTCTAGTGTTAAAATTGTGCGCTCAGCCTGGCCGTCTGTCTGAGTGTGAAAGGTTGAACTAAGATTAACCTGTTTCCCTAGTCCTTTCTAGAAGGACTTCCAGAAGTTGGCGGTAAATTGTGCTCCTCAATCAGAGATAATAGATAATGGGACATCGTGTATCCTAACAATATCTCTAATATAGAGCCCCGCATAGTCTTCGGCCGTAAAAGTAGCCCTGACTGGTAAGAAGTGGGCTGATTTTGTTAGTCTATCAACAATTACCCATATAGAGTCAAACCTAAAACGCGATCGAGGTAGCCCTGTAATAAAATCCATATTAATTACTTCCCACTTCCACAAAGGAATGGCTATCTCCTGAACTAGCCCAACTGGATTTTGGTGCTCAACCTTCACCTGTTGGCAGTTAGGACACTATGCCACAAACTTAGCAACGCCCTTCTTCATCCCCTGCCACCAATAGATCTCCGTAATATCATGGTACATCTTCGCCGAACCATGGTGAACAGAATAACGGGAATGACGTGCCTCTTCCATAATCCGATGTCGAAGCCTTGCAACATTTGGAACATACAATCGACTGTTATATCGAAGGACTCCATCTCCTACTATATTAAATGCTAAATACTGCTGATCCTGAGCCTTGGCTCTGAGCTGCTCTAAGCTAGGATCTTCTTGTTGCTGTGATTTTACTTCTACAACTAGAGATGATATGGTTGTGTCCTAAATTCTTACCCCACTATCTTCTGCCTCTCACAATCTGACTCCCAAGCTAGCTAACTGATGAAGCTCTCGCGCTAGCTCACGCTTCGCAACACCTAAATAGGATAAACTACCGATAGATCTTTGACTGAGGGCATCGGCTACCACATTTGTCTTTCTTGGATGATATAAATATCCACGTCGTAGTCTTTCAGTAACTCAAGCCATCAACTTTGTCACAGATTTAACTCTTTCTGTCTAAACATATATTGAACACTTTTATGATCTG